GGACAGACTCTCCTGATGAAGGGGACAGACACTCCTGATGAGGGTGGGACTCAGTGGGGTCACCCAGGGGGGTTTGAGGAGAGCTGTGACCTGGGGTGATGGAAGAGCAGCTGGGGACATCCTTGGGGGCCCTGGGGGCACAGCAGTGACACAGCTGTGACAGAGGGGCTGCCTGAGGAGGGAGAGGGGCACAGCAGTGACACAGGGGGACAGCAGCAACAGACGGGCACAGCAGTGACAGAGGGGCTGCCAGGTAAGGGAGAGGGGCACAGCAGTGACACAGCAGTGACACAGGGACACAGCAGTGACACAGCAGTGACACAGGGACACAGCAGTGCCCCAGGAGCTGCTGGGAACCATCCAGGCAGGCTGAGGACTCTCCCTCCCTCCTCTCAGGCTGCTGAATTCCACAGAGCCACTGTTGTTTGTGCTTGCTCAGCTCCTGGAGGGGCACCCACCCAGTGCCACCCCTCAGCTCCCTGCTGGGGCATCCTGGAGAGGAGAGAAGCAGCCTGGCAGTGCCACAGGCACAGGGAATCAGGGAATCAGGGAATGGCTGGGGTTGGAAGCACCTTAAAGCCCATCCAGTGCCACCCCTGCCATGGCAGAGACACCTCCCACTGTGGGATTTTTGGGGTCCCCCAATGAAGGGAGGAAATTCTGAATGTGACTCCATGTTCTCAGAAGGCTTATATTCTATATTATATAGAATATAAGCCTTCTAAGAACATAGAGCCAGATTATATAATATGTTTCATTACGTTATGCTATGGTATATATTATATTGCATTACACTATATTATATTATTATTTATATTATTATATTATATTATATTATATTATATTATATTATATTATATTATATTATATTATATTATATTATATTATATTATATTGATACAGACAGAAGGTTTAACAAGACAAATATGAAAAACTCCTGACTCTCGCCAGAGTCCCAACACAGCTGGACCATGATTGGTCATTAAGTCAAAACAATTCACATGAAACCAATCAAACACCACCTGTTGGTAAACAATGTCCAAACACATTCCAAAGCAGCAAAACAAGGAGAAGCAAATGAGATAATATTGCTTTCATTTTTCCCTGAGGCTTCTCAGCTTCCCAGGAGAAAAATCCTAGGCAAGGGGAATTTTCTAGAAAATATCACAGTGACATTCCACTGTCCCAGGCTGCTCCAAGCCCCATCCAGCCTGGCCTGGGACACCTCCAGGGGTGGGGAATCAACATTTTTACATCATTATAACCCTGTTCTCCCTTTCTCTCCTCAGCTGGTGGGGCTCAGTGTCTCCAATGGCAAGGACCAGCTGGTGGTGTTCCACACCAAGGACAACAAGGATCTCATCGTTTGTCTCTTCAGCAATGACCCCTCCAACGACAGCAGGATTGGGGAGCTCGTGGGGGTCCTGGCCAGTCACTTCAAGAGGTCAGTGCTGGGCTGGGGCTGGGGCTGCTTTACACCCATTTTCAAGTGGAGACCATCCCTGGAGTCTCTGTGGTGCTGGGCTGCCACAGTGACCTCTCTTCCTGGCATTTTTGGGGCACACTTTTTACCCACAACACTTGGTTCCCTCTTCTGTGTTCCTCTTCTGCCTTCCCTCTGTGTGTGTGTGACACAGCCACAGGGACAAATATCACTGAAGGTGCACTTGGAGTGTGTCACAATGCCTCCTGAGGGCTTCCTGCAGCCAAACTCTTCACATTTAAAATGAAAATGGAGTTTTTCTCTGCTCAGAATGACCCCTGCCCCAGTACCATAAATCACCAGCAGGTGATTTATTGCTTGAGCAGTAAATCCTTGCTGTGCAATGTCCTCTCTGCTCCCTGGAGTCTGTCTGTCCTGTAAATCCTGAGCCAAAGCTGGTGATTGGTGTGGGGGCACCTGGGATTGAGCTCCTGGAGCCCAGAAATGAATTCCAGGCTGCAGCAGGCACAGCAAGGAGCTCCAGGGGGAATCAGGGTGTGCAGAGAGCAGTTCTTGGGTTGTTCCTGCTGCTCCAGAGGAGGTTCCCAACAGGAATGGTGCTGCCAGCACCTGCAGCCTTGGCTTTGCTCCTCACAACCTCCACAGAACTCTACAGGTAAATCTTCACACAGAGCTGTGAGTGGCAGGAAAACAAAAGGGAATTTTGGTCACTTGAGGGTATTTTTCCATGAATTCAAGGAGACTGTGCTGGTCCAGCCCCTCTCACCACCACAGTGTACTGCCTGTGCTTCTTTGGGCAGGGGCTGGGTCCTTTGGAGATGAATTCTCAGCATTGGTGTAACTTGTTTGGGGAAATTCAGTGCTGCAAAGCCACAGGAAACATTCTCTGGTTTTGCTTTTACCTGAATCTCATTTCATGGCAAAGGCAGCTGCTCCTGCAGGCTCAGGAGATTCTGTAAGGCAATGTTTGTTTGGGAGCCCTGGAAGTCCCTGGATTCCCAAACAAATTCCCAGACAGAGCCTTGCCAGCTCTCTGGTGTGGGGACAGGCTGTGACACTCTTGGTGACACTCCAGGTCCTGTGTTCAGTCTCCAATTACCCAAAATTGCTTTTAATTTTGCTCAGATTGCCCCCCCCAGCCCTTGTGTCACCTGTCCCCCACTCAGCCTCAGGCAGAGCTGTTTCATTTTAACAAAGATGTTGTGACCACAGCCTGAAACATTGCACATTGTCCTCCTAAAGGTGGGAACTGCTCATTTCCAGTTTCTTACGCTGATTTTAGCAATGGCATTTCTATCTTTCAAAAGAATTTGGTTTAATCTAATCCCTGTCTGTAGGAGAAATATATTTATGTGCTGATCAGCTCCACTTAACACAATATTAGCATTATTTTAGTGCCTCAAATGACAAATCTCAGCTGGGTAAATGGGAGAGCTGCTGTAGAACCCATTTTTCTGCAATATCCAATAAAAGTTCCTGGATGAAGGGCAATGCCCAGGACAACTTGCATTTAATTTCCCAAATATATAAATAGCATGGTTTCCCTCTTCAAAGCAATATCTGTAAATCAAAACATTCAGGAATGTATTCATGTTTTCCATCACTTTCCATTTTCCTAGAGTCACAAACTCCTGTCAGAGGATGGGATTGGCTGAGCCTGTGCTGGGCAGGCACCGGGGGAATTGCTCATTAACGAGGGAATTCCTCATTAGCCAGGGAATTGCTCATTAGCAGGATTAGCTGTGGGTGCGCCCTGCCAGGGTCAGGTTTCTCTGCCCTGTCTGAGGAAGAGCTGAGGCTGAGCCAGCAGGAAAATCTCAAAAGTTCAATTGCTTGCAAGATCCCACCCATGGTGGGGTTTAGGAGCTCTGCTCCAGCTGTGGGAGCAGCTCCTGTGGGTTCTGGGGCTCTTTCTGAGCATTAACATCAATTTCCAGCCATCCCAGCACCCATCCTGAGTCCCTAATGGGAGGTTTTGGCAGGGCTGAGGTGTCCTAGGTGATAGGTGATGATCCTTTAACTGTGTGTGATTAAACCATGTGAGTTCAGTGACTTCTGTGGTGTAGGAAGGGGGGGAGGAGGCTGATGGTGTCACCCAAACCTTCTCATCCAGATGCTTTCTATCAGGTTTTATTTTTTATTCCAAACTCTTTGAACCGGGAGCTTCAATGCTGACCCGTCTGTTTGGGAATTTTGGACATTTTAGAACAAATACAGAGGTGACATCTGTCAGTGCTGCATTCTGCAGCTGCTTTTGGGCACAAAGGCGTCACATTTGGGAATGTTTTGCCTGATTTCACATTTCTTTGCATCACCCATGAAAGCTTCACTCAGCTGTGTCTTTTAAAAGTTATTCCTGGTAGGAACTGTCTTACTTTGAGGTTGTGCTTCACAAATAAGTGTTTATACAAAACTAACATGAGGCTGCTGTGAGCTGTGACATTTTTAGTGAGTCAACAGGAGTTCAAGTGACACTTCTTCTGAGTCAGCTGGATTTGGGGTTTTTTACAAATCAGCTGAATTCCCAATGGAAATGATGGGAAGCTGGATGAGGTGTTGATGTAGTGAACACGAAGTTCATGTGTGCCTGCAGAGCAGTGAGCAGTGTCCATGGGCTCCCCTGGGAATTCCCTGGAACAGTTTGGGGGATCCAGTGGTCCCCTGCAGGAGCAGGTGGGTGAAATCTGGTGAAATCTGCTCTCAGCATCTCTGCTGCTCACAGTGACCCCAAGATGTGTAAGAAAATCTCTTTTCCCAGCCTGATGGTCAAAGAAGGAGTCAGAACTCTGCAGTTCTCATTCTCAAGGTTGTTTATTGTTTCTTATCTATAAAATTCTTTCTCTGGCCTGCCGAGGTCTGTTCAGCAGGCCAGACAGAGGCACACTGCTGTTATCTTTTTATACTAAAATCTACATGTACAATATTTACAATTACTTCCCAATACCCATCACCTATGTTAAACAGTGAGCTTCTACTCTAAACCAATCCAAAAGTGCCAACATCACCCAGAAGATGGAGGATAAGAACAGGAAGGAGAAAGGCTGGACACGCCCCAATTCCTCCATCTTGCCCCATTCTAAAAAACCCAAAATCTATTTTTCACCCCATGATAAATTCACTATCATTCTACTTAAACTTTCATGTCTTGTAATTCTTCATATAAAGGTTGGTAATTGTTTTTTCCAAGGGCTAAATCAAAGGCACAGGGGTCTTGGGCTCTGAGCCCCCTGGGCAGGGTCTCAAATCCTCCAGGGCAGCCAGAGGGACTTGCTGGGTTCTGACAATCTGGGTCAGGTTTCTGCCCTTGGTGCCCAGCAGGAAGCAAAGGATCTGTGCTGAGCTCAGTGCCCTCATCCTTGGTGTGCCAAGGCAGGGAGCAGGAAGGGAAGGATTTGTATTTTCCCTTTCCATTTTACATCCTCAGGGCCCCTCAGGCTGTAGATGTCCAGAGCCAGCAGTGCAGGGCACTGAGGGTTTTCTGGGTGTCCTTCACCTGAGGTGACCGAGCTGTTGTCACCTCCCTGTGGGTGATCTGAGCCCTGGGGGTGCTCAGGTGTCCCAGGGAAGGTGCCCAAGGCCCCTCCTGCCCCCAGGCTCCTTCCCTGCCCTCTGGGAGCAGCCAGGGCTGTTCTCTCTGCCTGCCCACACTCTGGGATCAGGGAGTGGCTGCTCCAGCGCTTTCTGTCCCCAAATCCCCCCATTGCCTGAGCCACAGCCCCTGGGCTCCTTCCAGCATTCCTGGAGGGAAGGGGGACTTAAAAGAGCAGTCAAAAGCAATCCCTGCAGAACTCCAGCAGAAAATCACTTGCCTGAGGATAATTTTCTATTTTCCATTGCTCTTTGGGACCTGTCAGCCAATTTTAATCATCAGTGTGCCCTGGATTCATTTATTTATTATATATATATAATAATATATAATATTTTTTATACATATTCTTACTATATATGTTATATTTTAATATATATTTTACTATATATAAATAATACATATAATATAATAATATATATTATATATTAATATAAAATATATAATAATATATTTTATATATAATAAATAATAATATTATTATATAATTATATATAATTAATTATAATAAATATTATTTTATTATATATATTATTTTATTATAGATTGATAGTAAATAATTATATATAATAATATATTTTATATATAGTAAAATATATAAATCTAAATATAAATTTTATATAAATAGAAAATATATAAAATATAAATATATTTTTATATATAAAATATAAATATATTTTTTATATAAAATATATTTTTTACTCTATATATTATGTTTTTATGTATTTTTACTATATATATTATATATAAATATATTCAATATATGATATATATAAACAATATTTTTGTACATTTTTACTAGATATATTTTTATATATTTTTACTATATATATAATATATATAAATATATTCTGTATATCATATATATATATACAGAAATTACATTTATTACAGAATTACAGATGTAAATTGGAGCCACCTGGGACAGTGGAAGTGTCCCTGCCATGGCAGGGGTGGCACTGGGTGGGCTTTAAGGTCCCTTCCCACCCAAACCACTCCATGTTCCCCAATAATCAGCTCTGGTAATTCCTCTGTCCACCTCACAGTTGTAATTGGGTTGAGAAATGAGTTTTCCTCGGGACAACAAATGAAAGATTTGTTGAAAGATATTGTACAAATTTGCACCCTGCTGAGACTGTCTCTGCTTTAATTCTTGTACATCCTGGAAAACTCTCATTGCAACTTTTTCCAAACACTTGTCCTGTGAGAAGGGAACTCATCAAGAAGATCATTCCCTTCCTTAAAACTCATCTTGCCACTGCTGCTGCTGCTCATCCTCCACCTCTGAGTGGGGCCCTGGCCAGGGAAGCCTCCCCAGCTCACATTTCTCTGGAAAATTATTTTTTGTTACACTTCTCAATGTGTTCCTGACATGGAAAAATAGATTTGTCTCCCTCAGTGTTGGATTAATCCT